GCAGGAAAGAGACCCCAAAGTTATGGCTCCACCCCCGACCCACGGGGAGAAGCAATGAGACCCAGAGCTCTGGAGCTTTAAGTCCGAAGATACCAGGGCTTGTTTCCCGTCTGGAAACTATTGTCTCCATCCTGTCCCCCGACCCAGCCTGTGGGGGTGGCGACAGGGAGGAAATGGCCTCAAGAGAGCCTGTTCCTCAGATCCCACTCTTAAGGAATCCTGATGTCCCGACTGTTCCCACGGCAAGGACTGTCAGGCTGCCCAGCCGGCTCTCTGGTGGCAAGACGGCCGCCAAAGGAGCCGTGATTAGAACCGCTCACGGCAGGGCCTTCAGTTGGTGGGTGGAGAGTTTGGACCCAACACTAGTCTGCCTGCAGCTTTCACGTCTGGGATTTTCCTGGGTAGTCCCTGTCTGGGGCTCCTACCCCGTCTCCGGAAGAGTAGCCAAGAGAAAATGTCGCTCGGGAGGCCTCTGAAGGTGTTTGCTGCATTCCTGCATGCAGAAGCTTCCAGAGCTACAGGCCGAATCCAGACAGTGTTGGCCCCTGAGAGGGGAAGCGACTGGCCACAGCAGCATGGCTAGCGGGGGACTTTTTGCTGCTTGGCCTCATGACTTGCTTCGCCAATGAGATGTGAGCACCGAGAAGCTTCTAATAGCCAGGGTGTGGTTCGTCATCTCATCTTCCCCCTTCCCTGAGACCAGCGATGTTCCAGACAGAGCTTGTCCGTCAACCTCATAGCGCGTATGTCAGTTATGTATTGCTGCATAGCAAATCGCCTCAACGTTTATCGACATAAAGCACCATGCATTTATTACCTTACAGTCTCCGTGGTCGGGAGTCTGGTGTGGCTTAGTGGGGTCCTCTGCCACAGAGTCTCGAGGAGGGCTTCGATCACGGTGCCGGCCAGGGCTGGGGTCTCCTCTGCGGCTCAGCTGCGGGAGGACCCACGGCCATGTTCATGTGCAGTCGGCAGCACCCTGGTCCCCGCAGGCTGATGGACCGACTGCCTGGGTTCCTGGCTTACTCCACGGCAGCCCACAGCCTGGAAGGCGGGAGAGTGTCTGCTAGTGACACGGAAGTCACAGTGTTTTGTAACCTAATCACAGAAGTGGCATCTCATCACTTTCGCCTTAGACCATTCATTAAAAGCAAGTGACTGGCCGGGCACGGTGGCTCACGCCTGTAATCCTAGCTCTCTGGGAGGCCGAGGCGGGCGGATTGCTCGAGGCCAGGAGTTCGAAACCAGCTTGAGCAAGAGCGAGACCCCGTCTCTACTATGAATAGAAAGAAATTAATCGCCCAACTAATATATATAGGAAAAAATTAGCCAGGAATGGTGGTGCATGCCTGTAGTCCCAGCTACTCGGGAGGCTGAGACAGGAGGATCGCTTGAGCCCAGGAGTTGGAGGTTGTTGTGAGCTAGGCTGACGCCACGGCACTCACTCTAGCCTGGGCAACAAAGTGAGACTCTGTCTCAAAAAAAAAAAAAAAAAAAGCAAGTGACTGGGAGCAGCCCACTCCCCAGGGGAGACAGGTACACAAAGGTGTGAACGCCAGGAGGCAGGGGTGCTAGGGCCCCCCTCAGTGGCCTATGGCCCAGTTTGTTTTCAAAGGAAATGGACACTGAATGGAAATTAGTACGACCCCTGGCATCTGCCAAGATTCAACCAACCCACCAAGCCAAAGTGTGTTGTAATGCTTGCACCCCATTCACACTGGATCCATCCTCATCACACGAGCCCATGGCGTTGTGGACTTAAACCATATATTTTCTAAAAATCTCCATCCTTCTGGACAAGAGTCCACATGGTTCTCTTCATGACTTATTCTGCTACAACTTGGGGTTCTGTTAAGCTCTCTTAAGGCTGGGGATCAGATTTGCTCCTAGGCAAACCAGGGCATGGACCCCCTCCCCGCCAGCCATTCCTTCTGAGAACAAGAGTCGACAGGAGCAGGTCACAAAAGACTGTAGAACCTAAAATGTTCAAGCTGGGAAGGACACCCAGAGATCACCCAGTTCTCAACTATCTTCTCTCCCCAATCCTGAACCAATCCTCCCAACCTCCATGACCTTCAGGTGCCTTCCTTACAGTTCTGTCTCTCTCCGTATAAGATGATCCTTTTATCAACCAGCTATTGCTGCGAAATGAATAACCACAAAGCTTCAGCGGCATGAAACTGAACACGTATTTCTCAGTCGTGTCTGCAGAGCCCCTATGTGTCTCAGGTGGAAGTTCTGCGGGTCATCCAGGCCAGCGCTACTCCATGTGTCTTGCATTTTTCTGGGACCAGTGGGCTACCAGAGCTATATTCTGCTCTTGGAAATGGCAAAATTGCAAAAGGGCAAACCCGACCACCCAAACACCTTTCCGTTCCTTGCGTGGGTCGTGTCTGTTCATATTTCAGTGACCAAAGCAAATCACACGGCTGAGCTCAAGGTCAAGTTGGGGAACATACTTGCCCATCACGAGGCTATGGCTAGGGTGGGGACCTACACTACTACTATAGATAGGGGGCTGAAATACTGGGGCCCAGAACTCAATTGAACACACCCTATTTCCCCCATGCCATGTGGAGGTTTTGAGCTTATTGCTGAAACACCAGGAGCAGGAGATACAAGCAGGTATAAGGCAGGTTTCTGCCTCCGATCCTTCTGGAGGGACAGGAGTCTATCTAAAACGAAGAGCAGCAGGTGGCAGGTGAGTGTGGCAGGTAGGCGGGGCTCTGGAGGGGGTTTGGAAACCAGGGCGGGGGAGCAATGGGTCCACTCCTCTCCTGAGTGCTGGAAAGGCATCTTGCTGTCTGGCCAGGCTCATCCCAGTCTGGACGCTGCCCAGCAGCAGGTGGCTCGGGAGACGAAGAAACCGAGAGGAGGCATTGCCTGGCTTTGAGTCACAGAGTGAGAACACAATTCCCTTTCCCAGTTGTCTTGCAATAGTTCCGATGACAAGAGGAGAAAGACTTCTCTGTGCTTGAGTGCTTTAAAACACCTTGCTGATCTGCCTTTTTAACAGACCCTGAACCCTGGGCTCATGGGCCCTTTCAGGCAACAGTACCTGGCTGCAATTTACTAACACTGTTTTATTTTGGTAATGTTTATATTTGTAAGTTTGTCTTCTATTTTTGGCGGGTGGCACTGGTTTCCTGTTTACCATGGCGATAGAGGGCTTTCTTTTAAAATAAACACATTAAAATAAACAGAGTTAACTTAAAGAAAACTAGTAAGTGAATACTAGGTCAGGGAGCAGGTGGGTTTGGCAAAAATGGTAGCTCAGGCATGGTTAGCACTTGGTGGTGGTTGAGTGGAAACAGGAGAATGGTGTTTGATGCAGTCTGGGTTCAAATCCATTTCATCGGTTGCATAGAGCCTTTGAGCAAGTTGTTTACATAGCTCCTTTGAGCCTTGGTTTCTTCATGGATAAATGAAGGTGACTTCTTTGGCAGGGCTGTTGTGTTACACTGAAGGTAATGTTTGTAAAGAACTGGCATACGGTCAGTGGCCAGCAAACAGCAGAAACCTACCTGCCCCATCTCCTACGTGGCCGTTCCACTTGGGGAGAGACTTTTGGGTTTTCACGGTCCTCCACGTGGCCGTAGGACAGACAGGTAGGTGCTGCCTGGTCTCCTCTACAGCAGTCAGACCCCACTCTTCCCATTATGGGGAAGGGGAACTCAGTTGAAATGAATGCCTTCCTGCCCCCTTTCCGGCCCTGAGTAAGAAAGTCTTGAGAAGCCACAGAATTAAAAGATACTTGGCAGGTCAGATCCTCGACCAAGTAGGGAAGTTCAGGGCCTTGGAGGGGTTCTCAAATCCCCCCTAATTTGGAGCCAGCAAGGCCCTCCCATTGCAAAGCTCCTCAGCAGCATTAAAAAAAAAGATGCTCATCAGGAAATATGAACATGACGTCCCAGCCAGACCACACTGCCGCGCAATAAATCAGAATTTCTTAAAAGGGTTCCCTGTTCTCTTGTCAGTGGCGCAAGTCAATTGCCTTGTATTTGGGGTGTGTGCAGATAACATTAACCTGCTAAATTAAAAGTGTAAAAATATACCGTTGTGGCCCTGTGTTGGAATTATTTTATTTTATTTTTTTAATACACTAACTCCCACTTGCCCTTCCTCACGCAGGATGGGGCTCAGGCCCTTCCGGCCTCCCTGCCAACCTCATCCTCCCGAGAGCCTCTAGAGCAAATCAGCCCTCTCAGTTTCCAGATGGGGAAACTGAGTCTGGAAAGAAAGGCAGCTCCTTATCTTTTGATGTCATTCCAGGGACAATAAATTCCAAGACTTCGTGTTCAAAAGATACAGGGAGTGGTTAATGTGGGGGGGGTGTGTTTTGGGGTGGGGGGGGAGTGTAAGGGGGGACCCTGGGGGTGCCCTAAGCCTTGGTTCCTGGTTGCTGGGCCACCCCACACCAAGGCCAGGTTTCCAGGTCAGTTAATAAAAATGACAACGGCTGACATTTATGGAGGGCTTACTATGTGCCACGCACTGTGGATATCTTACACCTTCAGGCCTTACAACAACCCAAGGAACGGGGTCTTGTTAAAAACTGCCATTTGCAGAAGAGGAAATTGCGGCAGGAAAGACGAAGTACAAGCTCATGAAGTCAATAAAAATGCCAGATAAGGGGGCTTCTAGAGCTGGGAGCCAGGATTCCAAAGCCCCTTACCGGAAGGGACAAGAAGAAAAGGAGAAGCGGGGGCGAGGGAGGAGGAGAGGAGGAAAGAGGAGCCAGAAACCTGCGAGGGGAGCGCGGAGAAGAGAAACTTCCAGCCCCCAGGAGCTTCCCTTCTCCCTCTTTCCCTGGGCCTCGCCACCGGCTCCGCCCCAAACTTGGCCCAGGGGAGGCGGGCGCGGGCTGGGGACGCCTGGGGCCTTTCCCTGCAGGGTCCCCTCCGCCTGCCGCGGCCCCTCCCCTCGGCTGTCCCGGCTCCTGACATCACGCCCCGGGAGGCGGGATCGGGGAGGGAGGGGGCCGCGGGGAGGAGGCTCCGCGCCGGAGAGGGAGGAGGTAGGGCGCGCAGTCCCAGCCAGAGCTTCAAAACAGCCCGGCGGCCTCGCCTCGCGCCCCAGCCCGTCCGTCTGTCCAGCCGCCCGCGCCGCCGCCAGCGCCCGGTGAGTTGGGGGCGCGGCCGGTTCCGCGCGCGGGGCGCCGTCGGGGGGCTCGGGCTCGCGTGCGCCCGGGCAGCAGGGCTGCGACCCCTCCACTTACTGGACCGCAAGCGGCCCCCGGAATGGGGGGGGGCAGGGAGAGGCCCAGGCCCTCCCTGCCCCCCCCACCTCCGGCCTGCGCCGCGCTCGTTCGGGCCCCCGCATGCCACCTCGCCACCCCCGGCCAGCTTGCTTCGCCTTTTGCGCCGAGGCGGGCGGGAAAAGTTCGGGGAGGAGTGGGGGCGGCTCCCCTTGCCCCCGCCAGCCCTACTCCCAGCCTCTCGGAGACCAGGGCGGTCTCCAGTGTCGCACGAGGGACCCCGGTGTCCCGGCGCAGCGACCCCGGTCTCTCCGAGCGGGCAGGGCTGGCTGAGCCCAGGCGCGGTCGGCGGGTCCTCAACGGGCTGCGCGCCCTCTCGGCCCGGCCGCGGCTCCGGCGCGCCCCCGAGCGGCGAGGAGCGACTTCTCTGGGTCCGGAGCGGTGGCGGGGCCTGGGGGCGCTGCTAGGGTGACACCTCTCTCCCTCCCAGCTCTGATGGGGCTTGGGGCACTTGCAGGAGGCAAGGCCACCCTCATGGGTTCCCCAGGAAGGGGAGGCTAGAGGTCAGAATGTGGACTCCGCGCCCTCCCCAAATCCCGCAACCCAAGTGCACTCCAGGGAGGTCTTTAAGGTCCTATCGCGGCGCTGACATGTGGACGTCGTATGTGGGGGCTAGTGGGAGACGCCAGGACTGGAGCGAGACCCCACAGGACAAAGCTCTCCCTCCGGGCCACGGAGTCCACCCCCTGCTTTACAGTAAGGCTGTCAGCCCAGCTTCAGGTTTGGAGAAAGGAGCACTGTCCCCAACCCCAAACTCCAAGCTGTGTGTGTGTGTGCAGGTGAGCGGTGATCTTGTAACCTAGCTGCGTCTAAGTAAGGGGCTTGGACGGGGACTTAACGCCTCCGGCTCAAATACAGTGCGATTCCATGTCTGTGAAGCACCTAGAACAGGCAAATTCGTAGACAGTAGGATGGTTGTTGCCAGGGGGTGGGGGTGTGTGTGGGAGTGGGGAGTTAGCAGTTCAGGGGTACTGACTTTGTTGGGGAGGATGAAACAGTTTAGGGTTATAGAGAGTGGTCGTGGTTACACAGCATTGCAAATGTATTTAATGCCACTGAATTGTACACGTTCAAGTGGTTAAAATGATAATTATGATGTTATGCATATTTCACCACAATTTTTTAAAAACAGATGCCTCTGGCCAGCGCTGCCCTTCAGCCTGAATCAGTTAGAGACATCCCAGAGCTGACTGTCTGTTGCTGGCCACCTTGCTTCTGGATAAGGAAGCCCAGGGAGAATGAGGAAGGAACAGGGTCCCAGCTTCCCCGGGAGCCAGGAGCGGGAAGGGTGGCCCCAGAGCTGGTGGAGGTTCCAGGTGCCCTGGTGCACACCTGTCTTCCCGCTTTTCCCTGGGGCCTCGCCCCTGAGCCTCGCCCCTGAGCCGTTTGCAGCAAACTGCTCTGGTGCAGGTGGGGAAGCCCAGGCCAGGCGGGAGAGTCAGTTTGCTCAAGGCCACTGAGCTGTAAGTGCCAAGAGCCAGACTTTGAACCTCCGCCTCCCCCTGAGTCCTCCCCTTTTTTCCACCTGGAGATGCCCTGGTGGTTTGCGGGGAATGGGGGGCCGGGGAATGGGGGGCCGGGGAAGGGACACTTCTGGAGAAAACAGGGCACAGATGCCCGCGGGGGCCTTGGCAAATGCCAAGCCCACAGCCAGGGGCGGGGTGTGGGGGTGGCAGGAAGGTGCGGAACCTGTTTTCCCACCGAGGGTTTTTGGATCCTGCCGCCTCCACCCCCACGGGGACCTGGGGAGTCAGGTGGGAGGCAGAGGGCAGGCCACGTAGCCTGGGCCTCCTCCGCCCGCCCAACAGGTGGAGAGTCGAGATGTGTCTGAAATCCAGAGAACATGTTCGTGGTGAAGCCACTGAAGTGGCCAGCAAGTGGGGTGGGTGAGGGCAGGGCCAGGTGGGAACGGTGGTGTGAAGGGAGGGGCTTGGAGGTGACACTGCCCTGGGGAAGGGAGGGGCACCCTCTCTGGCTGGCGCCACCCCAGATCAGGGTCTAGCTGATGAAGGGCTAACAGGGCTTGGTGGCATTTGACTGTAATACAGAACACATCCATTTAGCACCTACACACACACACACACACACACATAGAAATAATGGCACTTAAGTCATTTATGGGGTCCATTCTTTCTGGAATGGGGTTGAATGTTTAGGAAGCTTCCTTTTCCCTGCCTCTCACACAAGTCTTCAGGGCGGGAGCGCAGGCCTTGTGCGTATGTGCACAGACTCTCAATTTCCCAGCAACAGGTAATTCATAGGGAGGCTCCAGCGGCCAGTTTTTCCTCCTAGGCGCACTCTGACACTCCCTGCCCTGGCCCGCTCTGCCGCCTTCCTGGTCGTGGGGGCACAGCCAAGGCCAGTTCTTTGTCGCAGTGAACTCCACCAGACATGACCAGGAAGGGAAGTCTGTCGAGACAAAAATGCATAAATGCCTTTCCAGGCCAGATGGATGGCGCTGGATTGCTGGCTGATCGGGGAGATTTGTTTGGGAGGCAGGAGGCCAGCCGCCCTCCCGGGGTGGGGGCAGGTAATGTGTGTGTGTGTGTGTGTTGCAACGCGTGGCTGATACCCAAGTGGGGCCTCTGACACAGGCTCGGGGGCTAAGGGGGTTGGGGCGGGCTCCACCGTGGGGAGCTCCTGGGCAGAGTGGTGGAGGTCACCACCCAGGCACTGGGATTGGGGTGCAGGCCTCTCCTAGAGGAGTGAGTTAAAGGTCGGCCTTGGGACAACCGTGCAGGAGGGGGTGAGAGGGTGTCTTGGGAAAGCAGGCGATTGGCAGCAGCAGCTGGCATGGGGGAAGAGGGCAGTTGGCATGGTGGGAAGTCCTAGAGGCTGGACTCTTGGGTGACAGCCTCCGCTTGTCCTGGAAGGGACTGGGAGATAGGTGTGGGGCTGGCGGGAAGAGGCTCCCCTCCTCCCCCGGGAGTGGCGAAGTCTGGCTCCCTGCAGAGTGACCCAAAGTACAATTTCTGGAGGACTGTGGCAGGAGTCAGACGCATCTGGCTCTTGTTAGAGACAGGCCCAGCGAGGGGGGAGTCTAAAAATATCGGAGGCAGGGCTGCCACCCAGCGAGAGAGTGCAGGCCTGGTAACCTGACACCAGGGCGGAGACACCACCAGCCCTGCTCTAGTCCGGAGTCACTCGGGCTCTTCCAGGCAGCCAGGAGGGTGAGGGCTCCCTGCCTTTAGGGCAGCCGCAGGCCCAGAGTGGAGAATTTCAGGGGCATAAGGGCCTTTTAAGGTCCAAGTTTGACAGCTAGGGACACTCAGAGAGGCGGAGCGACTTGCCCAGGTCACACAGCAAGGGGGCGGCAGACCCGGGACTAGATCTGGGGCACAGCTGAGAACTTCGATGGCTAGGAAAGTGGTCAGTGGGATTCCAGGGCCAGGTCCCCAGGGTCTGGGACGCTTATGGCATGTGTTGTCTATCTAGGATGCTGGATATCCACGCTCACTCCTGGACTGGCGGGAGAGTGGTAAACAAAGAGCTAGGCTCAGGCAGGAGGTCACTTCCCGTTGGGCACTGGGTCGTGGTCAGGCACAGCTGTTGGGCTCTGGGAATGTTGGCTCGTCTTGGGGCCGGATGTGGGGAGAAGGGAGGCTGGAAAAGAACCGGCTGAATGAGTCCTCTCCTCCTTCCCGTGCAAAGACACCCAAAGACACCGTTGGTTTTGTTCGCCCGGTACCCAGTGCTTAATGAGTAGCTGTGGGACGGAATCACTGAGTTCCCCGGGCCTGTCACCGCCCTTGGGAAGCTGGGCTTCTTCTGGTGATCGATTTAATGAAAGGGACCCTCTGCTCCAGTCCCTGCCCTCCATGGGCAGGCTAGATGGCATCAGCTTCTAGAAGCTTCCTAGAACTCTGCACCCAGAGCTGAGAGAGGGGTCAGCAAAGTGATATTTGGCACCAAGATTGTCCTTAGAAGTCTGGGATGCACAATGGTCCTCACCGGGCAGGACAGAAAGACAAACAAGCCAAGTCCCTCAGTTCCGACAGCTCATTGTCTAAGGTCAGGTAGGTTTTCCCAGTAGCAAAGTTGCTCGCTCTGAAGGTTTCTCCTTCTGGGGCTGATCCCAGACTTCTCGAGTGAACTGTCTTTCCTTCAAACGAAATTAACAACAACAACAAAAAAATGGTAGTGAATAAATATGACCCAGAGCTGTCTCGTTAATCTTACGGATGTTTCCCCGGGCGTGTTATTGCCGATGATGTGCGAGATAATTGTAAAAGATCTGCAGCTGAGTATAAAGAGAAAAAAGAATAATTACGTATTTTTCTTATTTGGTTTTTAGGGAGGAAAAAAGTGAGTAGCACACAAAGCCGTGGTTTCCGCAGATACTACTGCTGCTTAGGTTGAAATGAAAGTCGCTGCTTTAAACGTTAAAACATTTTTTTAAAAATAATTAAAGAAGTTGCTTCATAAGCACAGGTGGTCCTTGGGTTTGGCAAACATCTTAGGACCCGAGTGACTGCCTTTCGGGAGATGGTATCGTAACAGGACTGGGATGGGCGAGCTCCACTCTTGATAGCATGGCTCATCCTGGAAGATCCGAGAGCCCCCCCACAAGCCCCTCTTTGCGAGGACGCCCCCAGTGTTAGCTCCAGACTGAGACCTGCCGCCACTTAGCTGCCGGGGGAGTCTCTTCATCTTTAATGAGGATCATTGTTCCAGCCCGTGACCTGCGCCGGTTGTTCGGAGGATCAGAGGGGAAGATACATTGATGTACGTGGAAGTGGCTTGAAATGTCTGTGGTTTGCTTGAATCAAAGGAAGGCCGAGGGAAGGGCTGCCTTGCCCACTTTAATCTCGGGGAGTGTTATTAAGCTGGCAATACAAAGGGAGGGAGGGCGGAGGGAGGGCGG